ATCGATATCTTCTCCTACGTAATAGCCATTTTCTACATCTAAGAGCTGTTTGGTGCTGTCCCTTGCTAATGATGCATATAAACCCATAGAGAAAGTCTGATAAAATTTGCTTTGATCCTGCTAAGAGGTCATCGCCTTAGGTACATTATATGTCACTGAGCATACATTTAGATGGAAGGCATGCCTTTTGGTCAAAAATGATTGGACATAGGACAGACAGAAATGGTAGTTAGAGACGAGCCTATGAGTCAGTGAGCACGTCCTTAAAGCAGTTCACACTTCACCAAAAACGTGGGCTTGTGAAGAGTCAGAGACAAGCTGGAGAAATCAAAGGTTAAGAGAACACCGAAGAAATAGGAAAATAAGAAATTCAAGTAGGAAATGGGCCTGGGAGGGAGTTCTGGAGGTCTCTGGTCCAATCTCTTGCCAAAAGCAGGATTATTGCCGACACTAGACCAGGTCAGTCATGGCTTTGTCATTTTCTTTCACCAACAGTGAAGATATCACATGCTCATGGGTTGACCTGCCCCAGTGCTGCACCACTCTGCCAGTAGAAAAGCTATCCTGTTGTCCTACCCAAATGTCTTCTCCCTTTACAGCTACACACACATATGTCCTGCATATCTGACGAATCAGGCTTCCTTCTCTCCCTCTACCCTTGGAAAATACGCACTGTGTTTCCACACACAGGTAAGCAACTGCAAACGCAGCAGGAAAGACAATGCCTTCAGGTAGGCTCTCCAAACATCGGTTGATCCAAATATGCATCAGCTTTCTTTACCAAGACTTTGGCCAGGATGCTTGCTCTTCGACTTATGCCACCCAGCCCCACCTTTGGTTCACAGGGTGTTTGCACCCATCTGTTTATCTGAGGACAGTTTGGTACGTGGCAGATGAGAAGACAATAAAAGGTTTACAAGATGCATCCTGGAAGGACTGTAGCCTTCAAGGCTAAACTTTGTACTCCAGACTGCTCAAACCGAAATCCCTGTTTCCAGCAGCGGTTGGTGTGGGGGGTGTGGAATTAACCATGCTGCAAACAAAGAAAGGTTTCTCTAACATCTTAAGCCTATCTTGGACTAAAACATTCCCTTTTCCAAAATCTTCTTACCCAGAATCATTTCCTATTCAGTAATCTTGCTGCTTTGGAGCCAGACAGCTGGCTTTCATGGTGGAAAAGTCCAGTGTTATCAGAAAAATATTGAAGAAAGACTTCAGGGTGAGGAAGAGTGGAGAAACTTGGGGCAGTTTTAATTGAAATGTACTGAACATCTGCAATTGTATTTAGATATTTTCTTGAAGCCAAGAGACTGACTTTTGCTGTTTAAGTTCACATGAAGTCTTCTGTGCGGCACCAGTTTCCAAGATAACTGGGCCACAAGTATCAATGTTTTACATAGTCCCTATCACTTCACAAAAAGCGGACATTCCACTGGAAACCCTACAGTTCTGGACCTATAAGCCTTACTTACCGTGACCCTGCCAATCCTCAGTGTTGGTCCCTGAGTCACAGGGTAACCTCAACTGCTGAACTCTCCTCCAGGGAGGTTGTGTGTTTGCAAGGGAGGGAGATAGTGGTCTCCCTTCCCATAGCAACTCCTGCAAAACCTTTGCACCAGTGTGAATACGAAGGCAAGATCTTTGCATGGAGAGCATTCAGGCACTGTACCTCTAGACCAAAAGAAAATGCCAGCAGTCAGCTAGCAATAACGTGGCAAACATTTACCCAGATTTCTTAAGAAAAGGAAGGACAATGAGTCTGGGAGTACAGTGTGTGCAGAACACCAGTTGTCCCACGGCACAAATGCTCCCTGTGAAGCCCAGGGCTCCCAGCTACAAGAAAGGGAATTGTCCGGCAAGGCAGAGAAGTAATGTGAGTAAAGGATCATGTTAGTAACTATTTCCTTTGCCTCTTTCCTCCCACCCTCTTGTTGTGTTTCAATTCAGCACAGGAATCTCAAGGCGGGTGATCCAGTCACGTTCAGCCAGAAACCTAAAACTGGGAAGATTAAGGGCCTTGTTTCAAACTCACACAATCCTGCCACTGAGGTGAATGGGATAATACAACAGTAATATTCTAGAAATCATCCTAAGGTCTTTCATTACATCAGTTATGCAATTCTTGTTAGTGGTGTACCGCTGAGCAACCCTTTCTCTTTTCAAATTGGTGGAAGTGCAGGTTAGCTCTGGGCTAGAACATACAGTTTGTAGGTCCCCCTCATGAACAAATGTTTCCAGAGACCACTGAAAAAAAAGCAATTCCAGCAGCCTAAAACACATCCTTTTCTCCCCCCCCCTCCCCCCGTAAACATAGAATAAGGAAATAAGTATTTTAACAGAGAAATATTTTGACTCCTGGGGAGAAAGGTGAAGCACGTAAAGCTATCAGGTGATCAAAGCTTTCGTACTGTTTAACATCACACACATTCAGTTGAGATCCAGATCCAATACAATCAAAAAGTTACTTAAACTGGAAACAGGATCTGATTAAAACACACCCAGAAAAAAACCTGACATCTTCTGAATGTGCATTTAAAAATCTGTATTTAGCAAAGAAAGATTCCAAGACAATACCACAAGCATCATTTTAAGTTTTCAATGGAGAAAGAGGAAAAAAAGATGCCTCTTGCTCCATCTTACTGGCTGTATATTTGACTCCCATTAAGCACAGCCTCAATGCTGGATCCAGTAGCTCATCAGATATTGGAGCCTACAATATCCCAACTCATGAGGAGACTGAGTTGATAATCCAAATACCAGCCTGTCTCCCATCTATTTTGATCTTTCAAGACAGCCTGCAAAATTCCTTCATTTCTATGTTTGGGTTCAGGAGGAGTCAGCAGACCTTGGCAGTGTGCCCTTGACCTCTAATGGATGTTGGGCTGGTGGATATTCAAGACATTCTTCTGGGATGTGATAGACCTTAGACCTGTGTGAGCTAGAAGTCACTCCCCGCCCCCCCCCCACCTGTAAATCCAAAATTCCCTGTGAAATAGGGGAGGAAAGGGTGCAGAGGGGAAAAAGGGTGCTTTGCTCCCTCCCAGAGCTGCCAATTGCAGAACCAGTCACTTGTACAGACCTATCATCAGAGTTGCCAATACAAAACTACACACACGCAAGCATTCACTCTTAAAAAGTTTTTATTAATTTTCATTGTTTTTTTTTTTAAAAAAAACAAACCCGTCAGTGCAACAGTTCAGTATCCCCTTCCTATCCCCCATCAGTAAGCAGTAATTTTAAAATCAGGAAATACCGAGTGCTGAAGCCAATGGGTTAGCATTTTGCTATTATTTCCTTCTGTCAAACTCTGAAAAAGTCCTCTGTATAAATTAAACAATGAAAAAAATGTTATTTTCAATTCTATGTCATTACAGTCAACAGAATCATAATAATGCATCTAAAATGTGTGTCCACAATATATCAGGTATACATTTTCGGGAAAAGAAAAAAAGGAAAAAAAAATATGACATTCTAGGCTTGTTAAAAGGATAATGGTCCCATATTTTTTATTAACAGGTTAGCAAAACAAAATAAAATGGATTACAATATTTACATGTTATTTGAAAAATAAAGTAGTGATAAAAGCATGTCACAATCATTTTTTTTTTTTCTTTTTCATTTTTGGTAACCATTACAAACACCCAATCCAGGTATGGAACTGTTTAAATACATTTGAAATGAGGCCAATTAAAAAACAAATACAGACACAAAATGTGTATTTATACTTGTCCCTCCAATGTGTTTTTCCATGACGTTCCCTCCCTACTTCAAAAAACAAAACAAAAAAAACCCAACAAAAAAATCAAAAGAATCCCCTTAACACACAAATGATGAATCCCCAAAAGCAAAACACCATGCTTCTCAAGTAGCACTTATTCCACAAATGCAACATTTTTGCCATCAATTTTATGTGAAGCTCTCTAGGACACCGTTTCCTCAGCAGCTTCCTATTTTCCCCCCTCCCCCTCCCACAGATCCCCCCCAAAACAAAAAAAACAAACAAAGACACATGCATTTCTAAAACTAGGTTTCAGTCAAGTACTTTCTACTTTTTGGAAAGAAACTCTTTTTTTTGTTCACAATCAGAACATACCATGGGCACCAGATCCTGTATTCATTGCTCAGGCAAAATTCCTGTTGAGTTTGGTAGGCTTTCCACCCAAGAAGTAGTGCAGGATCAGCCACTTAGGTATGCAGGTTCCTATTCATTCTACACTGCTCCCCTCACTCTAAAAGCTAAGGAGGAGGGGAAAAACTTAGCAACTCCATCTTGAATCGAGTAAAAGTAGTTCTCCAGGCTCAATGTCGTATGTAACTATTTCACCTCCACTTGCAAAAAGATGTGTTAACAGACACCCGTCCCTCCCACCGCACCAAAACAAAAAGAAAACACGCACACCACAGACGGAAGAAAAAAAGGCAGCCAATCTTAACGAAAAGTTACTGGTGTGAGACTGATAGATGTTAATATGACAAGCAACAGAACAGTTATGAGGACCTATGTGTTTGGCCCGCGAGCTGCATAGCTGTGCCGTAAGTTTGGTTCTTTAGTTTTTTAAAAAAAAAAGTTAAAACTTCTTTGTTATTTCCATATGTTTAAAATTAACAACAACAGCAACAACAACAACAAAAAGTTCTATTCACAAGATCTAGTCTCCTTTCCCTGTCCCCCCCTCGAAAAGAAATACTCACTTTACATGAGAAACTTAATTGTGCTGTATTTGTAACACCTCAGGCTGATAGAAAATAAACACGTGGCAAACAAAACCGCACAATCAGTCACATGAAATCTATCAAATCCTAAAATTATAACTGAATACTAACAAACAGCTTACCTGGAATAAAGGATGACAATTCACAAACAGTTATCTAGGAATTAAAGTCTCTCTCTCTTTTTTTTGTTTTTTTTTTTACTAAAATAATTAAAAAAATCACAGTATTTTAAGAAATAAAACCCACACTGGGATTTTAAGCACAATTTGTTTTCCTTTCTTTAAAACTTTTTTTCTTCCTCCATTCACCACCTTGCCCAGCAGTCTCTCTACATTTAACCACAACAACAACAGGTAGTACTGACAAATGCAGAGATCTCCCTTGGTTAATTCTGAGGTACTAGGAAACAGGTGACTGTTTTAAGCAAAGCAGTTTCTGTTTTGTTTTTATTTTCTTTTTTTTTTTTTCCTCTTTTTTTTTCTTTTCTAAAGCAGTTGCATTCAGTCTGGAAAAGCGTTATGTATTAAAACTAGAAAAACGCACACAAATTTGTGCGTTGAAAAGTCGTCCCCCCCACTTCTTCCATGCTCACGACGCTTCCATTCACAAACAATCCAAGTCTCCACTGCAAAGCACGATGTGTAATGTAGGAATACGGGGAGTTGCTTCATTAGTCCAAGATGAATGTAACTTCCCATTGTCAAGATCCAGAAGAAAAGATGCAGTGATGTAATGGAGCCACTTATTCCATCACTTAAATAACTTTAATATACACACACTCACACAGGTACCAGTGCTTTGAAAATAGATCATTCAGTCCTAAAAGCAGCTTTATTTCTTCCTTCTGCCCACCCCACCCACCCACCCCACCCCGTTCATCACTGTTCAAGTATGTTGATTAGAATCACACCAAATGCTTATTCGGTTTTGGCCTCCGAGTTGTCTTGGAGAGGTTTGTCAGCAGCTACCACGCTGACTGCTGTTTCACTGTTGTGGGAATAGTCCACCACCATTTTCTCAATGCCTTCTTTTTCTTCTGTCAGTGTGCTAACAGTTTCTTCTACGTCCTCCTTTGGCAGGCTGTCCTCACTGGTCCTGTGCTTGCTTTCATTCAGTGCCCTGGAAAGCCGAGCGGCAGAAAACAGAAACACTTACAGTTGATATAGAGAACAGAAAAGCCAATCTGTGCACATCACACGAGGGAGAAAAACAGAGCACTTTCTAAAAAGGTAGATGCAAGCAGCCACACCATTGCCAGCTCGTGCTCAAAACGAGAGGCAGTGGAATGAAGCTACCAGTGGGACCCATGACATTCTAGCTTTGAAACCAAATCTTTATTTGCTCTACACTGGGACAGATATGAGATGAGAGGGAAGAATCCCAATTCTGACTTAAAAGTTTATTCCCCTTATCCCAGTCCCTTGTAAACAAGACTTACAAGGCACCAAAGGCACAGGAAAAGAGTACTCTTCCCAAAGAGTTAACGATCCAATAAAACTTTTTATATGTTGCAACATTTCAAGTACTCACATTTACGCAGAGAAGATTAAGGGTAAGAGAAGTAATATTTCTCATCCCATCGCAGTTAACCTACAGTATCATACTCAAATGTCTTCCACATGACAAGCAACCTTGAATGAAATCTACTCTTTGAAAAAACTCTGGTGAGCAAAGAGATCTCTGCTACCAACGAGATCTTCATCAAAAGAAGGAAAATGATTGTTCCAGAGATGCCTATCTTATCTGTGATGCGTATCATGCCACAGTGTGCAAACTGCTATCGAAAGGCAAAGATCTTCACTATGAAGATGAACTAGTGAACATTTAGGAGGAGTTAATTGTGAACTATGCACATTTAGGAGGAGTTAATTCAGATTGATTTTACTTCCCTTGAAGGTCTTGACATTTCTCTGCACATAATTCTTTGTACTGCTATGCAAGTTTAGCTGCAAGCATGCAAAAGAGATACAACAATAAAGGGGGAAAAAAACCCCAGTTCCCTCCTAGAACATTCCATATAATTTTCTGCCATTTTTACGCTGCTCTGCTGGCAGGCAAAATCAACAGTACACTCAGGTAAACTTAATCCTGGTCAAGTGGTATTCACCTTGGGACAATCTTAAGTTTTAGAATCACAGTTAAACCCTACGGTCTACAGCCACCCTGGGCAGCAGAGTTAAAAAGGATGAACAGGCACTTCCCATGCAGAGACATCTGATGACTGTATCCACACTTACGATAGACAGAACTGTTCTTCATAGAACTGTGTTTGCCTTCATCACAGGGCTTTTTGGGAGGTGAGGAAGGGGGTGGCGGGGAATGCACAGAGATCTACTGTTACCTTTGGCTGTTTGGCAAAGGAATGTAAACCAGCTTACATGCCATGTCTCAGCACATGCCGCTCCCACTCAGAGCCTTCTGTAAATGATCGGCCACAGAACTCGCACGGGAAGCGTTTCCCTGAAGCACCGCTGTCAGGAAACATCATGGGATCTGGAAAAACACAGCATAGCCCGTGAATTCAGAAGTGCCAGGTCAAGAAGGGACCACTGTGATCCTGCTCTAGTCCTCTCTGCTGCACCTTCTCATCCCTGAGAAGCGAAAGGACTTAACTATCAAATAACTGTGTTTGTGAAAATGCAACTCCCCCAAAGCAAAGTGACACTGCAAGTGACAAATCCCATCCTAAGTCTTAAAGCATCTCTGCAAGTAAGGGTAACGAGTTACTACTCTCTGTTCTTGTATTTCAACAAATGAAGAGACTGCAGAGTTTTAATTCAAAACCAAAACTGAGAAGTTTAGGGCTGAAACGGCTTGAAAGCAAAGTCAAAAAAACCGCTAAAGCCCACCTATAGTTTTTGAATTGCTAGTACAAATTCTAGGAAACAAAGACTTGGTATATTTAACATGCGATCCTCATAATAAATAGATATCCCTTCATCATGAAGTCTCATGGGTTAAGTCTTGCATCTTAACTGCATAGGTGTTTCATCCCATCCTAATCTTTTATACAAAGTGCTTGGGGCCTCATTTGCAGAAGTGTCAAGCACCTAGTAATACAAGTGAAGTAACTGGCAGCTCAGGGAGCAGTACTTCTGAAAGCCAAGCTCCATATGAACACAGCCAGCTTCAACAAAAGATGAAACATTTTCTCACAAATTAAGAAGATCACCACACAAGCCATTAAAAATAATTGTATGGACTATCTCACTTGATTCTTTTGCTGGAAATGAGACAGCACCATCTGCTCAGAGCATTAATTCCTTAGCAGGGATTATCTTAAGCAAGAAATCAACAGAATGTCTTTCTGGCTCCTCCCAAACTACATAATAAAAGAAAATGGATTTTGCTTCATTTTAGTTCTGATCTCTGCTCACTTGATTTCTTCACTCTCAGATTTACTCTGTTCAAGATCAGCCTGTAAACTTAAAATTGCCCACACATTCCCTGTTATCCTTATGTAAGTCCTGTAAATGTATTTTTGTGACACATTTCTCACTAGTTAGCCTTTACTGAAGTTCTATAAGGAATGGTTCTTAACATTATTTTTTGCCTCTTCCCTCTAAAAGAAAAACCTCACTTTGTATTTCCTACTGTCAGTGATTTATTATGTTGTTAAATATCACAAAGCAAGGTTCTGTGCCAAGAGGAACACCAGAAAGTAAGTCAATGCCGTTAGTTCAGTTTACATCTGGATTTGAATACCTTATGTGTGGTACAAATTTATAAACACACCACAATATACAGACTAGTCATGGTACAGGGACAAATATTTATGGACGGTAAAACTTTTAGAGGCAAATGCCGCTGTTCTGTACAAGAACATACCTACTGTATAGTACACAATAGGAAGTTTATTCTGGGACTCTGCAGAGAGGAGACACACAAGATAGAGGCTGTTCTGCTCAAACAGGGAGGAGTTGGGGTTGTTCAACCTGGAGAAGAGAAGGCTCCAGGAGACCTTGTTGCGGCCTTTCAATTCTTAAAGGGGGCTTGAGAAAGATGGAGAGAGACTTTTTACCAGAGCCTGTAGTGACAGGACAAGAGGTCATGGTTTTAAACTGAAAGAGGGTAGGTTTAGACTGGACATAAGGAAGAAATTTTTTAAGATGAGGGTGTTGAGACACTGGAACAGGTTGCCCAGAGAAGGTGTGGATGCCCCATCATTAGAAGTGTTCAAGGTCAGGTTGGATGGGCCTTTAAGCAACCTGATCTAGTGAAAGATGTCTCTGCCCATGGCAGTGGGGTTGGACTGTATGATCTTTAAAGGTCCCTTCCAACCCAAACCAGCCCATGATTTACACCTGCAACTCCCATTAAGACTAGCAAGTGCTACTCTAGTAAATCCATCACCTCTTCAGAAAACACTATCTTGTTCACCCTACTTCCAGAACAGTTTTGCTTCTAGTGCTGTGAATTTGGACTGCTTCCCTGGAGGAGCATCAGAAGCTGCTCTTCTCTGGGGCCTGCAGAAGAGAGGTAACAGACTGCACAGACACCTGACCTCTCTGCAGTTTTCCTGCATCACACATACAAGCACTCATGGACATTTATTTTTGTCTACTGTGGAAAAACACCTCTCGATTCCAGTTTCTACTAAGACCAAGACATAAAGGTCAGTAAAAATAGACAGTCCCTCTGGGATGCAGTCCCTACCAGGGGGAGCAGTTCTTTCCATGGTGTATGCCAGACACCCTCTTTTTCCCCCCTCATCTTCTTCTTCCCAGGTGAATATATTTTCTACTGTCCTTTACCAGCAGCCAATGACTCCCTTCCTTTCCCGTCCAAGATAGCAGTTCAGCTCTGCTGAGCTCTGCTGCCCAGCTCTGCCTGTTCACATGGGCAATAGCCCTTTTTTGGTCCACTGTCCAACAGTCCATTTGGAAAAGCAACACTCTCTTCTTTGCACCTTCAGTACTGCACATATCAGCCTGAAGTCAAAGTGGCAAATCTAGGCAGCTGTTTGACTCACGGGAAAAAATCCTGGTTCTGCCAAAGTCACAGACTTCAGAAGGTTCAGACAGCATTTGCTTCCAGATACTCGGAGCACACAGAGGCACTCTCAGCAAATCCCACTTCCTGCTAACACCACAAAGGCTAGAATTGTCAAAAGCACCCGAGTGGCATATAGGATTACACAGTTCGATGTGGTTTGAAAGCTGAGACAGCATTAGCCACTGTGACGGGCTATATTTAAAACCATAGGTCTGGTCCTCTGCTAACAGGGCAAACCATTTCTGTGTTGGAACTATCTTCTGAAAATCCATAGGGAGATGTCAGTATGCAACTCAGCATCCAACCACGCCTTCAGTTCCTGTCTCACTGGGACATTTTTTGAAAGGGTACCTTGCATCTTGCAACCTGGCAGTGGTAATCCACAACTTGGCTAGAAAAATATAGTCAATACAACTGGACCTTTTCTAAATACCCTAGCTGAAGTAGGCACAAGGGTTTTCTGCATTTTCTACCTACTTTAGTGTAATATATTACAAATGGTAACAGATTAAAAAGGAGAAAAAATAACAATGGTGAAACATTGACCCTACAGGCCAGTCAGGAAAGAAGAGCTGCAAAACAAACTTGGAAATATGCATGATTTTTTAGACTGGTCATCTGAACAAACATGCAGAAATCATTTTAGCCAGTCACAGATTAAAAAAACACAGATACAGGTGAAAAAAGTACAAAATAAAAATTAGAATTATTAAGACACTATCCCTTGCTTAACTATTGATCACATCAAACATGGGGATAACGCTTATCTATTATCCCTGCAAATTTAAATCTCCAGAATAGAAGGTGATATTTTTACATTTTCACAGTGTAACCTAAAGCCAACTTAAACAATGAACTTCACCTTGGGCTGTCCCCCTCCCCATGGTGCATTTACAGGGATTTGTAAGGCTTGGCAGATAGCACCTTCTCCTTGGTCCAGACACCATGGCTTCCAAGGTTGCTTCAGCACCTGTGCTTGTATGTAATGCTCAGGTAATGCTCACAAGGACAGCGTGACTCTTCATCCCCTGCTAGCTGTGGGTCTATGCAAAACATTAATCAGCCTCCTACATCTGCAACTAAAGTGAGCTGGTCCTTTAGTCAAATCATTACACAATCACTGTTCCAGCCATGAAGCTCTGAGGGTTGAAGCTGTCCCTGAACAGACACCCGAGCATGTTTCCACATGAGTTACTAATGCTGAACTTTGAAATGCATATAGAACAAACACCCCTTTAGGTCCTCCTCTGATTTTTCTACTGTTCCACCTAAGATCTTGTGAAGGATCTTTTAATTATGTTTTCATTAAAACATAAATGGTTTCATATCCAACTCGCTTCCTTTCCCATTTAAATAAAAGCTATCACTAACCTCACTTGAAGTGCTGGTGATAAGTGCAGACCAAATTTATGCTGCAGAGACACTAAACAAAAGCCAAGACACTGGGGTCTTGCTATTAAAAGAAGCAGCATGATCTGAGCCCCTCCTGTTCTGTAAACAACCAGTGAATCCAGAAATTGGAATTTTTCAAGGTCTGAAAAGATGTAGGGAGACACATTTTCTTTTGTAAACAACTCCCGAGTGAGTTTGAAAGCTGAAAATTCAGCAGGAAAAAAGTAAACATGGTGGTGTACCTTTAGTTAAAGTACATAGAACTTGGCTAACTGCGGTCGTGAGCATCAAGAGGGTAGGTGACCCCAGGAACCTGACATTCAGACATCACAGGGTTAAAGATGTTAAAGAGTTGTGAACATACCTCATTTGACTCATGAACTGTGCACCACAGCAGGCTAGACAACACACAGTTTACACCAGATACTGCAACAACCTGGTTTTCATGGGGGAAGGTTGTTGGAAGGGAAGGACAAGAAACCCTTAGTTCAATTTACAGAGAACTTACTTTTTCCCTGCTGATCTAACTTCAAGCAAACCAAAAGCATTAGCAAGCACATGGCCCAGCCTTGCTGAAGTCAGTGGGATTAGCCTTAGGCACATATTTAAATACACAATGGTACAGGTGGGTCATGGACCTACCCTGGCTCCAGAGCTGCCAACTGCAGCAACTGCAACAGGACTGACTCTGTCTGACAAGGAATGCTGGGCACGGAGTTAATAACAGCCCGTAAAAAAGTTTGGCCACAACCCTTCATCCCTTGCTTGAACAATGCAGACTGAAAAGCTGAAAATTGGTTACCAAAACAGAAAATCTGACAGACCACTAAAATACTCCCCTTATGTAGTTTTCCAAGCCCTTATAGATGTTATCTGCATGGGCAGATAAGTCACAGATTCTATCTGTGTTTTCTCATAGTACGTATTTTCTTAACAGACAGAAAACTTGTAATAAGGCTTAGAAACACGAGATTCCCCCAGGAACAGTGTCTTCACAAAAGCCCTATTCTGCTCCTGCTGGCATGCCTGCATGGCTCTACAGGAATGTGATGTAGAGTCAACAGCTGACCTTGCTTGGTGGGACTGGTGGGGCATGTTGCAGTGCAAAAAAAAAAAAAAAAAAAAAGAGCTGCACTGACCTCTCTCTTCAGTCTTGGGGCTTAACTCTTCTTCTTTTTCTTCTTCATCACTGCTGGAGCTCTCTGTTTTCCCCTTCATTTGTTCCAACTGGTCCAAGTTAACCCGTCCAACCAGCTCAAAATTACGACTCACCTTTGAAAGAAAACACTTTTGTCAGCAATCAGCACAATCATCAGCTAATCAAAAAATCATCACATATGCAAAATCGAGTACACCCCAAAGCCTGCTCAGCTAGAGGTGACATGCAGTCACCTAATCAAATTAACACTCATTTCTTTTCAATGATAGTGATTCTTCTTTTGCTGTTTATTCTGCATTTCTCATTTTTGGTTTTCAAAAATTAATGACATACAGTAAACGCCCCTCATTTCTTCCTGGTTTTGATGTATTAAAACAAAAAAAAAATTCCAAGTAATGCAAAACACTTTAAGTTGCATCCTCTTTTTATGGGACCATTCAACCGCTGTGATCAAACACTGCTATTGCACGCCCACACTGAAGGAAAATTCTTTGTGACTGGTTCATTCAGCTTCATTCATGAAAGGATGGGTCTTTTACTAAGCACATGGCTGCTGTGTGCCACATACACTTTCACTCATTAATAACAGATTAATTTTCATTATGAAGGGCTGCAAAGTGCTTTGCAAACTGATACACAGACTATAATGGGAACACTTCACCCAGCAGTCAAATTCAGCTAACCCTAGGGTGAAATGCACCAGTTACTTAACAGCTCACAGCAGCAGCGTGAAAGGAGCAGCTTAGGGCATGGAAGTCAGGAACTCCACCACATCCAACAGAAACAGCAGAGGAGCAATCCAGATTTACAGTAGAGGCGGGGAGCATGGAGCATGACCAGGACACTAGGGCTAATACTTGTTGGATGACAAGCACCCTCTGAGCTCATTGATCACTGCTGGGAAGGATTTTGGATTCATCTTTCATGCAAAGAGACAGCCCTCCAGCAGCACAGGCACTGAGCCACAGAGGCAGAGAGGATGGAGACAGAGAAATGAGTGCAGTACAACACCTCCTGCAAGATGCTGAATGAAATATCAACACCCACTATTTTTTATCCCTCTGTGGGAAAGGGAATATGAATGAACCTAAGGAGCATGTGAATTAGACTGTAGTATGTCTCCAGATAGCAAACTATCCTAAATGTGGTGGTGTGCAGATTCCTAGGACTACTCCGTACAGACAGCTGTGATGAGGTTCTCTGACTTAACACGTTACCCACTGAGATTCAAACAAACAAGACCACATGCAAGGCACTTAATTCAACTCATCTCATGCACAGGAACCCTTTAAGGTGCAATGTATCACCGAGGTATCTGAGCCCAGAACTTGGACACAAATTAGCGAGATATAAATTACTGAAGAGAAATGGGGAAAAGATACCCTAAACTACTGGCACCATCACTGCAGGTCCGGATTGGAAGGGAGAGCTAAGTAAGGGAATAATCTTCCCAGCCTGATGCACTGTGTCAAAAGAATGAGGAATAGCGCCTCCTGGATACACGAGGTGCCTTGCTGTGGTGACTAGGAGGCGTGGAGCATCTCATGTACCATGTGAATTGCAGAAGACTCTCCAGAAGCAATAAAGAAGAGGGCAGATAAGCATAGCAGGCCAACATAAGTTTATAGAGTTTGTTTTTATAAGACAGCCAAATATTTTTTAAGCGTAAAAAGTTTTGCTGGGACTTCTGCTGCTGATACTGTCAATATAAATGTATTTGGCTGTAAGAAAAGCGTCATTCAGTCAATGAAGGAGGAGTGAGTTTTTAGTGAGGACCTGGGCAGCTCAGCTCCAACAGGTGGAGGCATATAGCTGCCTACCCTGGAAATGTGACAAGGAAGCGCTCTAACAAATACTCTAAAACACATCTCAGTTCTAGAATTTAAGTATCTCTCAGCTACACAGCTCACAGTTACAGAAATTCAAAGCTAACAGTCTGTGGAAAGCCTCTAATGACTTCTCAAAGACTGGATCAGGTCTGCACTCAGGCACTCCACAAAAACTCCAAAGCAGTCTTAACTCAGGACCTAGTTATACTTGCTGTTTATCTTTCCCTTGTTAAATGTAAACGGGGAGGTATTGCCCTCTTTGTTATTAAAATATGCATGGCATGTCAGGCTGCTGAAGTTGCCAGAGCAATCTTATGTTTGGAATCTCCTGCCTTTTAGAGAGGCTGAATCACACAGCCTTAATATTGTTTCACAACCCTTTTTTTTCCCTCTTTAAATAAACCTAGCATACACAAATGCCTTTTCCAGATAATCATACCCTGCATACAACAGTCTGCCAATTCTGATCAATCTGAACAGCTTTAGAAACCCTCAATTTTGAGTTTCTAAAGAAAAAAAGAAACAAAGCCCAACATGGGATTAGTTTCCAGATTTGGGGAGGGACAGAAAAAAAAAACACGGCAAGTTGGCTACTCAGAGTTGACATGCAAGTAAACTAATACAGCATTTGCAAAGAGTAGATTGCTACAAATGAAAACTATTTGGATGTTACCTTGTGCTCATCTCGAAGGTGAGCGTCCAGCTCCTCTGTGTGTTTGGTCTCATAGTAGCAGAGTTGGCATTTGTAAGGTTTCAGTTCATTGTGCTTCTCTATGTGCTGCTGCAAGCTCTCATCACTGGAGCAGGTAAAGGTACACTTATCACAGCGGAAAACAACTCCCTGCAAGTACTTTGACAATTTGGAACGGCAGACTTCAATGGGAACGACCCGCTCTTCTGTAGGGACAGAACAACTTTCATTTAACAAATTTTATGAAATAGCAGGCCCACATGTCAACAGTTTGGGCACTACCACCCACACAAGGAATAGGATCGGCTATACAGGTAGGCGGTCCGTCTACAAAGGAGTGGGAGCTAAGCTGGACTGATGCAAGAAACACAAGACAACAATTCTTCCTGCAATGACAGGGTTAATCCTCCAAGGCTACAAAAGCAGGTGTCCTCACAAATGTAACTGCTTATTGGGTGAAGATGATGGGAATGGAGGTTTTGGGGCAAATGAGACTCCATCTGTGAGTCAGAGTAGCAGAGCCTGGGAATACAAAACCAGCCATAAATCAGCCAGACCAAAAGTCCATTTTGGTTCAGTACTTGACAGCAGCCAGGAACGGTTGCTAGAAATGTAATAAACAGGGAAGCTGCAGGGTGTTTCCTAATGCATCACCCTCCTGGATCTATAAAAATCAGAGCTGGTATCCTCACCATCACATCTAAAGCTACTCTCTGGGGACTGAGAGGATAAGCAAGGCAGCACCTTTTCCTGGAAGAGGCTGTGCAGTTCAGCCACGGGCAGAAACTTCCTAACACACCCACAGCTTTCAGAAAGCTCAGATTCAAAATCTGCATGCATGTCATGTCACACTTCCCACAGTTCAGATCATGGATACAGCCACGTACTGAAAATGCTCTTGCTGAGTTTTTAAACTCTCCACTTCTCAAACAAAGCACTGATGTTTAACAGAGCAGCAATTAATTTCAGTCATTTGACAGAGCCAGAATCCAATGTACGTAACACTCATCCACTGTGGTTCCCTGAGCTCTGCGCACAGGGGAAACCCCGAATTTGACCCTTCAGCTGAGGGTCACCAGAAGATCCTCATTATGGGCGTCTGTTACTCAACTGGCCTTTTGAACTAGAACACTGAAATTTAGTATTGTTACTCCTTATGGACTGCAGATTAAAGGAGTAGTTTGATCCTCCTCATGCAGGTTGATCCCTAATGACAGATTAAAACAAACGAACAAAAACCCCAGGCGTGAATCTCAGACGGTAGACATGAAGGCTAAAGGAATGTAAGATGTGGCAATCCACAAATGGATCTGAGCTAATGGGCCCTTTTCTTTCATGAGAAGGGTAATATCACATCCAAAGACAACTACAGAAATACAAATTCCCTTAGGGTTTCTGGAAGGTGGCAAAAGCGCCCTGTTCATTCACTTTTGGCCAATCCACATGCCACCGCTGCTCACAGGACTTTTTCTACAGCCCAACAAAATATTCCATCCTGCTCTGCTTCTCCCTGAACACGAAAATTACCCTATCTCATAACTTCCTCTTTGGCCACTTAAAAAAGTGGAAGTCTTCCTCAAAGCTATGCCTTAAAAAAACCAAACCCAGTGGACTTGTAATTCTTTTCTACACCAACAACAGCTTCCCCAGCTATAAAGACACCAAGTTGTGGCCATTAAGGGTGGGAAAAGGGGAGGGGAGAATAGGGTCTAAGAGACAACAGAATTTAAAGCTGTGATTCTGGGGTCATAAGAAGACTTTTTACAAGGTTGTTGCAGCTGTGTGCTTTTGAAGTCACTGAAATAAGTGACACAGCTGGTTTCAAAAGTGAAAAAGTCAAGTGAAGTTTTCAAAAAGAGAAATACTAATTAAAATATTTGAAAATTCACTTTTCCTCTAGCACCTGGCACAGATTAAAAAAGCTAAAACATGGGATGGTATAAAACTTTTTATCTACCAGTCTGGAGTAACGCAGCATTCCCTAATTCACATTAGCAAAACCTATTATGTCACAATCACACACACACTCCCCAAATCAAACGCAGCACAATAACATGAGAAAAGCAACATAAAGGTAAACAACAGTTCCAGCCTGGAGGATTTCACTTTCAGGGGATGATTTAAAACTTTTACATGATGTATTCATGTCAGTGAGCTCCCTCCAAGCAATGATTTTGGAACTTGCAGGGTTGCAGGGTTATTTGGATCCAGAACCTCACATTTTGTAAGGTGATGCTCTCATCTCCAGCTTGCCCCTACAAAGCTCTCTTTATTTAATTACTCATTTAGAATGCACTTATCATATCTGGGCAACTGACAAAACTACAGCAAACCATAAAGCCCCATATGCAAATTGAAAGAGCTAGCTTCTTTTTCCATGTGTAGACTTCTTCAAAGTTCAGCAGTGTCTAAACAAAGTCTACTGTATAGGCCTCACAAAAAGTTGTCCTGAATTGTGGAACAATTTAGCAAGCAGTGTAATTAAAAAACAACAACAAAATAAACACCTAAAAAGCATCATCTTGGTTTAAGAAATCCAATCCTTCCATTAGACTGAAATATTCAGGCTAATTGTAATGCAGATCAGAGATTAAATTGAAAGGCCATTAATGCACTAGGTATTTGCAGTTCAGTAACTCAAAGCAGACATATATTTTTTTGCTCAAGGCATAAAAAGGAGCCCATGACTCTATCAGTCCTTAGTTGTAAGGAAAAATCTTTACTCAGCAACACACCACAGCATATACAAGTTATTTCCTTCCCTTAAAGGTAAACCAAGTACAAACAAAACAGTCCTACTATCTAGACACAAACCAATTATTTGGTCACGTTGGGTGTTTGAAAATATGCACTTTTGCCTGCAAATCCAAGCTACAGTCACAGAATGAGGCATTTGCATTCCAGTAGCCAAGAGCAAGCACAGCAGAAGGGTTCTGCATGTATCAATGAAGCTGTGTGTACAAGGGATAATGCCAGAAACAACCATGTGCAAGGAATCAGGATATGTAGCAATGAAGCCTTTGGGAAGGTAGGTGAATTTGAAAATTTTAGGTTTTTATCTTAAAGTTACTATTCAAGAGAAATGGGCATGATTTCTACTAAATGGAAGAACAAAATCACTGTTTGTACCAGGAAGAGAATAAAATGATCGCTGAAAGAAGGAAAAATAATGCTCCAAGGATTTTAAAGTAGACCCAGTAGTGAACTTGATAAGTTGCATTCAGCCCTGGAAAACACCAATGTGTTTCAAAATGTGTGATGGGAATGCTACTGGAAGGGATAATGAAAGCTAATTGCATTGTCCAGACTAAATTAAAGGCCAGCACCCCTGCTGGCCACAGAGCAAGAGTTCAGTGTCCTCTGTGTCTCCTCTCTCCAGGCTTGCCTGTCACAAAGGGCAGGAAGAACTTGAGAGCCAAACTTCTTCTCTTCACCTACCTGCATAGCAGTCTCCAGCTGTGTCAGTCCCCTGCTACAGGCCACCTGTAATAAGTCTGTGCTCCATCTGTACCCGCAGAAGGGAGAGTGAACTGGTTTTACACGGATGATAGGTGATACATGGAAGGAGGCTCTTGGAAGCTTCCTGTTTGCCCTCATTCTTAATCGGAAGAAAATTCCTTGCCTAATTTTTCCTCACTAGGCATTCAGGCTTCTAGCTAACAATGCTTTAGCCCTGTAAAACTCAGCTTCTGTAGCCACTGATTAAGAGGCAAATATACTCTCCATTTCAAGCACATGCTGTTTCACCAAGGATTAGGGGTGCAGCAACTTAGAAGTCACGCAAGAGTCACGCATCTGTAAACATGTCTTTTTACACAGGAGGAACATTAACTATGAATGGATTAAATACTTCACTCTTGATTTTACATACTGCACCACTCCACCTACCTCAAAACTAATTTTCTTGGACCACAGCTCAGGTCTATGCCCTTGTTTTACCAATGCAATGGCTACAAAAAAGGAAGGATATCTCAGACTATCTTTACCATTCCTCAGTCTCCCTTACAGTGCATGTTAAATCTTGTCAAAATCGACTGCTTCAGATGCCACACAATTAAACACAATGGTAGAGGTTTTTTTAGCTGCATATACGCACCAGAAAGAACTTTAAGGAAGGTCCCTACTTCCTTTATTACCTGGATGCTTGATGCCAGAGAAAGCCTTCCCTCAGTGGCCTCTGAGATTCTTTATCAGCTATAACCCCATTTGCATTAAAACTTCTCTTACTGTGTTTTACCTCTCCCAGTGCTCTAGTGGGTATACCATTACGTCCTTTTCTATCAGCTTTGTTTCAGCAGCACAAAGGCTCAAGGCTGGTTTGTACAACTGAAACAACGGCTCTACAAAAGAACAGATCCACAGTGTCACCCAGGAGGTAACCACCTCCTTGCAATTGGTCAGAAACAGCTCTGTACAGGCGGTACAGCTGCTTGAACTCATGAAGTGCTCTTCCACTTCTGCAACTGGACATTCCCAGTGTCAAGTCTATGCATGATGGAAAATACCTTAACTAAGCCCATCCAGTTCTCCCTCAGCCTGTCTATACGTATTTTAAAGGTCTGGCGGCGTCCACTGAAGCCCTGGCGGTGTCCACTGAAGCCCTGGCACAGCCACAAAACATAGCACACCTCGGCAGCACTTGGAACCACATGGTCCCCTGCACAGGGGTTAAGTAAATCCTCCTCTGCTCTAAAGTGAGCCAATTCTGGAGTATGCCCTGAAGCTGGGCAAAATCCGACACAGCAACACCTTCAAAGACAGGAAGTAAAAGCTAAAGCACTTGCCAAACTCTTACAACCAAATAAGGCAGCTTTGTAATGTGCTTTCTGAGTCACTGACAGGTCATTTTTCCCAGATGTTCCCTCAGAATAGCCCTGCTAGCAGACAGAAATTTGTATGAACTCTGCCAACCTCACTGCTTTGGTACAAGAAGGACTTTAAGCTACCAACACTGAAAAGTTGTATGTTACAAGGAATTACGATAGCGCTTGTCACACCAGGATCTCCTCCAGGAAAAAGATGGCATGCAAAACTTGTGTTTGCTCACCACCAATACCCTACTGTGAAACTCTGCCCAACCTGCAAGCAGGCAGAGTGCCATCCCAACACATGGGTTTGGATTTCGGCAGCCAACAGACCATCTACAAGCATCAAGTGTGATAGCTATGGGCAGGAATCCCAACCCAGAGAGCCCAAACAGCTGCCTCTTCTGAGCTAGCAAGCCCACAGTTAATAGAATATAGAAATCCCTAATCCCACTTTTAGATGGCTTAAAAAAAGGGAGAGGTGAAGATAGAAAAGGAGTCTTAAAGAAAAACAAAAATATTATAATTCTTGTTTTGATCCTAAGAAAGCTGAAGAGAAAAAATTCAAGCAATTAATCAAGGGATATTTTGGGGCCTCTATGGTTAGTTGATACACGTTGTCACAGAGTTTATGATAGCAAGGCCTTTATGATAACAAGGACATAAGCAAGAAACAACTCTGGCCTAGATCAGAGCTGTAAATTAGAGCAACTCTTGCTAAACAGGTGTTTGATGACTGTTAATCTCTCTAGAGGAATAACTTAAAAACAGTTTTAAATCTGCCCTGTTTCAGCAGGGCTAACTTTGAATTTTACAGGAAATAAATAAGATGCATGATTTAGAAATGAAACAAAAGATACTCAAGGGCTGATGACTTATTCAACATACTTGTCCTCAAGTACAGAGAGGGGAAAATTTAATGATGTACAGAGAGGGGAAAATTTAATGAAACCAGTCTGAAAGACAAGGGCGTTGTTCAACATTCCCCTCATCAGATACAGACACATACAGGGATATTGTTACCTCTGTGCAGAACTATATGGTCAATCATGTTGCGTTTATATTTGGTGTGATATAGGCAAAGAGGACAGCGAAGGTCTTTGGGTCCTTCCTCAGGAACTGCCGAATGCCCAGCTTCCACGTGCATAGTAAAAGCAGATCTGTGAAACGGGAGGGAGAGATGGAAGCAGTCAGAAGAGGTGTGCAGGGAACGATGAAGTGTCACAGCTCTATAAGGGATGTGTCATGTAAAATGGTACAGATACCACTCAGCCTTGTCTTCACAGTGCCACATGGCATTTCAGCAGGGCTACTCACATGAGTAACACATGAGCAGAGGTATTTGCAGGCTTGTATCCTCAAGTAACAAACACTCATTCTGACAGGATATTCTTTTGCATGGGTCGCCCTATAGTCACATTGCTATAGTTAAGATAGCAAAAGAATTCCCATCTTTCATGCTCATTATTTGTCTTTAGGCTAAAATATTCAGTGTACTTTCTCTGGCAAAGATTAAATTTTTAGCAAGTTCAACAAAATCTATCAACTGTTCTGGACTTGCAGAGGTGAGGACAGGCTTATTTCTGGAGGCAGATAACATCCTTAACCACCTCTGTCTTTGTAGGACAAGCCCAAAACCAGCTAAAATGTTTAGATCCAGGATACAAAACAGACTTGCATTCACAGTGAGTTTGGCACTGAGTAGGTAAGTTTTAAAGCATCAGCTATAAGGATCTGAAAATCCAAGACTAAGAATACTCTACTTATTAACGTGGAGGAATGAATGAATACTCCACAGTACTTTTGAACAAAAAAATTCATGCTGGCATTACACTGGCTGCATACTTAAAAGTTGCAAGAGACATGCATACAGAAGAAATTAACTGTACACCTATCTAACCACAAGCTCAACTACTGAAATGAGAGGTGTCTGCGAACTTGGGGAACTCGATCATTTTTTCCTAAAGCAGTGGTACAGCTTGCAAAAGCTAAGGAGCTTGCCACATTGAACTAGAGTTAGAAGTCTCTGAAGTTCTTCAAGACTGATAGCTTGAACACAAAGCAACTTACTAACACAACTGGCTCTGGGCCTGATCCAGCGACTACTGAATTCTACAGGTGTATTTCTATGAACTTCAGTGAGTGCTTTCATGCATTTAAGTTTCTATGGTGAATTGAAGAGGGGATTGGTATGGGGTTTTTTTGCCCCCCCCCCCCTTTTTAAAGACAGAAAACATACTGTGCTTCTAAAAGAAGCAAGGCTTAATTCCTGAATGTTTGAGACACCACATGAAAGAATGCTACTCCCTTATGCAACTATTAACGTGTTTAAATGCTGCTTGATTTAAGACAATTTCATTTCATCCAGGTAGAAGAAAATGGCACTCACAAGATATGAACAGATTGAACAGAGCTGGCAATTGCTGGTAATCTTTAAGACAGATAGCAATCAAGGTATAAAGCACAAGCAGCAAATTTTACCACAGAGGCAGCAAGGGGCTGAAGCAACAGAGGCTAGAGACATGTAACTAGAGGTTGCTCTTGTGTGGATTCTCTCAGGTTTGTGCTCAACATTTTCTTCAACAGAACTCCTCCCCTTTATCCAGTCATACTGCTTACTGTCACCAGTCTCCTAAGAACTTAACAAGTTTGAGACCTTAAATGTCAACTGAGGCTGTTACGCTCGAGGGTCCAGCATATCAGGAAGAAATGATGAACAGCACAGGTGCATAGGCCTTTTTTTTTCCTTACGGAACAGCAGCTAAAAACACACACACACACGCGCGCACACACACACACACAGAGCACCGAGTTTTTAAATTTTGCACATCTAATTGGATTTTCTGAAATGTCTTTATATGCTATCAGATATGCTAGAGAATGCTTTGCCACACACACACACGCGCACACACACACACACAGAGCACCGAGTTTTTAAATTTTGCACATCTAATTGGATTTTCTGAAATGTCTTTATATGCTATCAGATATGCTAGAGAATGCTTTGCATTTCAGCTAGATAGATGGTGGGAGAAATAAAATTACATAAGAGAGGTTTCTTCAGAAAGGTGATATAAATTCTCCTGTCTCCCCAGGACACTTGATTGTCCCATGCTTCATGCTGGTTGCACAAGGAAATGACCTTATTTTTGTAGAGAAAATTTTCACACTTGAGGATAAGGATAGCCCTCTAATTGCATATGCTGAGGAAAAAGTACTACCTGTACCGTTTCCTCCAGCAAGTGAAACCTACTGCAAGGACTTACTGTGCTTTCGTCTGCAGCAGATGGTACCGGCTGTTGTAGGAGAAAGGAAAATGGATTACACGGATGCTGCTGTGATCTGGCATGGCATTTCCTATGTTCCTCTCCCTGGTCAGCAGTGGTCATGTTTCTGTTAGCTACAGCCAGCTCTCAAAGATCTCAGAAGTTTTTTCAAGTGCTAAAAAACACCTTATGAGTTCAGTTTATCTGTTTTGCACACTACTTACTTAAAGCCTGTATAAAAGGAACAATCTTTGCACTTGAAGAGTTTTTTCCCTCCGTGCTTGTCACGGTAGTGACGCCGAATGCTCTGTATGTAACCCGAGGAGAATTCACAAAATTCACAGTTAAGGATGGCTTCCGTTTTTTCGACTCCTGCAGCACTCCCGGAAAGTGGGATTGGGCTGATGTTGTTGTTGTTCCTGGCCAAAGCTGCAGACTGGTAGTGGTTCAACTGCTGCTGAACATCAGGAGGCTCAGAGTATGAAGAGTCTGTAGAGAAACAGAAGAAAGTTGTTATTCCAGGTGGATCAACAAATCTAAAAAGGTTTGAGGCCTCCTCCAACCTCTATTGGCTTTTAGAGGGGGTTGAGCAAGATGTTTGTTATGAAATCCGCTGACAGCTTTCTGAAGGGGTTAAGAGATGTAGCACTTCTTAATCTAACCTAATCTGTATTCTACAATTTAAAAAGTGATCAGTATAAATTATGCTTTTGAGATCTGATTTGGGGAGAAGTGACAGATTTAAATTAAAATTAGTCTAAAAAGAAGTCTGGTTTTAAGACACTTCTAATTTGTGAAGGTAAAGCACATTAATCATACTGCCAAGTGTTTATGTGTTTAGTGCATAAATCAGACCAGATCCTCTCAAATGTCTTATGCCAGTTTACACAAGATGAAGATCTGGCACAGGATACATGTTAAATAGCCTATCTAAAAGGGAAAAAAAAAAAGAAAGGAAAAATAAATGGATACTCTTCCCTACTCATTCATGGAATCATTTAAGAAACCCACATCAAAAGTTAACTTCAGCGAGATGATACAATTTTACTGTGTCACATTTGAAGCAGCCTTCACAAAAGGTAAATTCAAGTCTCCTAGCTGATGATGTTTGAAATGAAGTCATTATTGGAAAAAAAGATATTTGATCATAAATTCCAGTAAAGCAAACTTCTAAACCACATTTCCTTAGAAGCTGCTATGTTTTGCTATACTGAGAAAGAGATCTCTTTATGTAGGTATGTCTGTATAGACGCATCCCTTCTACAACCCAGCAGAACTCTGTCACACCATTTTAATAGGATGTGGAGAAACACAGTCCAGAGATGTCTCAGTACTGAAACTGAAAGCTATAATACTCTAGCTGGACCCCCCAAAAAAGGAGCGGGGGAGGGTGGTGTTGAACCTTTCCCAACACACTGCTTGAATGTGGAGGTTAGGAATTCATCTGCTTTGTCCTATATAACCCACAGCTGCTCATGAATGGCACAAATAAAAGCAGATGAATAAAGCACAGATGAATTTCAGTGTAACTTTCCTGAAAAGAAGACAAAAGGCTCTTTTCTTAAGCTTTCTGGAAGGAGGAAAAAAAAAAAGCAAGGGGGGGGGGTCGGGGAAGTGGGGATACAAACTGTACCAGCCACCTCCTGCTTTGATGGATACTTCATTTTCCAAAGCTTAATTCCCCGAGGCTGGATATGTAGGAATTCTCTAACAGACATACTTGTGGGAACTTAACAACGTCCATTCTAACCAATTAGTACAGAGAAACAAAAGGGAAACAGGCCTATACAGCACTCGGTGTGGGGACTTCTCCACCTGTCTTCAAAAGAGTAAAATGCTTGCTTTCTTTTCTCACTACCACAGAAGGGGGTTATACATGCCCGAGAAATGAAAAACAAACTAACAACAACAAAAAAAACCCAAACACACAAACACAAGCAGGAGATAAATGTCTCCGGGCTCCCCTGGCTTCATCACCAGGTGTACAGCAAAGACAAAGGCAGAGACATGAAAGATTCTGGTAAAATGAACGAAATACTTTTTGTTTTTCCTATCCAAGCCTCATGAAGTGAGGCTGGATTACAATGCAGCACTTATCATCTCTTGTTTCCACCATGTCTACAGCAGGTTTGCTCACCATGAGGGCTCACGGTGAGCTCCACCCATTCAAATGTGAAGGCTTTCTTTTTCTTGTGTTTGTAACAGGCTCTCCACTTACTTTGCTTTGGCACAAGACAGGCCTGAGGAGCTGCAAACCTCTGCAGAAGTCTCTTCGCCCTCAAAGGCAGCAACCGTGCGCTCACCCTCTTTTGGAACAGGACCTTAAGGCCCAAAACTATGCATGGTTCAGAGCAGATTTGCTGACTTGCGTATCTGCAGCCTGGTGTCTGGACTACAGGGTTCAATGCTTCTAAAAGCTCAAAACACAGTTAGACAGATTTCCTGACAAGGATATGACAGCCTAAAAAATGATCATAGCACAGGAAACAGTTTTTTTTGTATGTGTACTAGTCAAATTACTTGTAGCGTACAGATTAAAGTCTAGTTTGTAGCTTACTGTTCCCTTCCTCAGGAAGAAGGGATCAAAAATTTCCATCACATCACCAAGGTTCCTAGCCAAAGTCTCGGTGATATCCACTGCTAAGAAAGTTACAGGTTTAAAAATTATTATTTTCAGAACAAGGAAGTTTTGGAAGATCTACTATAATTCAGATGTTTTTACTTCCCCTATGATCTGGTGTCTATTATTCCAGCTTTCGAACTAATTGGATATTTACATACTTCTATGGCATCTGGTATGTGAAAACTGCAAAAGTAGATAGCTACCTGTCTATTCCCACAGAAAAAAAAGTACACGAAGTAGCTTGCCTTGTCATCAGGAACAGCCAAAAGCAAATTCTACCTTTAATTTTTGAATTCTTACTTTCTTTCAACCAGGATTCATGCTGGCCACCTTACATTTTTTAGTATACTGGTCTGTTACAATTAAGATAGCTATATTTACAGAAAAAAAGCCATCTGAAGAGCTTATACGGAGAGTCTTACACTTAAACAATGGTAGCATGCATGTCCCTAGTTCTGCCTGTGTACTCTTCCCCTTTTCCCTTGCCAAATGCTTTCATTATTTTGCAATCCTTCTGGAGTGCAAGATTTAGCACTTCCTGAAGAAAAACACCCAGAATTAACATGTGTATAGGGCTTCTGTTGGTTTCTGAGAATCAGCTTGCCAGGCAGCTATCCTAGCATGCAGGTGCAACCCAGCTCCACCAGGAACACTTCGGACAGAGTCCAAAGCCGACTAAAAGCATGGGAGGTTTTCCACTGACTTCAGTGAACCACACTTTCTCATGCCCACTCCAAAACAAGTGAAGGCAGTGGAAAGATAGCAACTGACCTGAGTTTGCTTCCAAACATGCGTTTTAGCACACACCACAGAATGACCTGCCAGTAAATAAGAAACAGATGATGGGGCTGAGGTTTTGGATTTTTTAATTTATTTTTCAAAAGCAGTACCTGAGAGAAGGACTAGGGAGGCAAATCCACAGCCAAGGAGCAACAGCGCTGCCTTAAATTGGCAGAACACTTCTACATGGGCACTTCCTCTACTCCTGCTGGAAGAGCAGGCTGATGTTCCAAACAGCTCTGCATGTACTTCAGTGCTGGGCTGACTTAAGATGTTGACCAAGTATTATAAGAGCCTTAGCATTTACACAGGCCTCAAGCTGCTGTGCACCAACCTGCTGGACACCTTTTGGCAATGTTGCTGCAACAACAGGATGCCTGGATGTAAGAGTGGAGAATGAAGGAGAAAGAGAGCAGAGCTTTTCCTTCAGAACTGACCAACAACTGAGTCATGGCTGTACACAATGCAAGTTCCACCTCAGTCATTGTCCTGCACCCCAAGCACAAAGGGTTGGGAGCACTCCGGGAAAGTGTTAACAACCTTGGCCTGGAGCAGAAAGAGGTTCTAGCTATCCATGTTTGAAAAAAGTAAAATGACCTTAGAAGCTTACATCAAAGTCAGAAAGCAGAAGAAAGATATTAAAATAAGCAAAGGGAAGAGTTAAGAGAATTTGTATTAAGTAATGTAAAACACTAAGGCAAAGAGAAAACATGAAGGGGAAGAAAAATGAAACACCAGGAAGTACAGATTACATGTTAAGGAAAAAAAAGGCATTTTTTTCTTTGAGCAGCCTCAAGGCAGCACAAGAAAATAAAGCATGTTCATATATGCAATGCAAGGAAAGAAAATGGACTACTTAGCCCTGACTGATTTAAAACAATCAATCAAACTAACAAGGCCCCCACCAAAAATACCGAGATACATTTTGAAAAGTAATCTCATCCAAAATGAATGGAAGAACTTCACTGTGCAACTCCAAAAGCAAGATAACAGCATGGGATGATCTGACGTAAAAGAAAGGACACCTACGTCATGCCAAGAGGCAAAAATTAACAGTAATTGATGTAGTCAAAAATGGAAGAACAGCGGCGATGCTGCAAATGTCAATTTGAGATTTCATGTATCACATCTACCTACAGACTACCTGCACAGGAAGAATAACAAGGCTAGCAAGTAGTGTAATCCCTGCCAGCACCTATGGATCTAAAAGACCGCAGAATCTACCCTCAGTATACAACAAACAGCATTCTCATACCCAAATGCAGAAATGACTAGTTGAAAGGAAAGCAGTAGAAATGACTGTCCACATGATGCCCCATCAACACAGCCATATCTAAATTACTACTGCGTGCTAGTAATAATACATAAGTAAGTCTCATAGCGTCTCTGCACAGGGTGAAGAGAGACAGCATTTCCAGAGTGCCTAAAACACTTAAATGCCTGGTAAGTGATGTTGCCACCCTGAAAACTTTATTCAGAGTACAGACACAAAGACTGGCACAATGAGTCTGTCAACAGTACTGGAAGTTACTACCTCATCCAAAAGAGCATTCACAGTCTCCACTACAATGCAATGCAATGCAATTGTGAAAATGCAGCTTGATATACACCTGCAGACCCTGGGATCATACACTGGGGAAAAAAATTACAATGAAAACCCACCACAGAAGCAAAATGAAAATCCAAGTTTCCATGGATCCTCTGCAGCATATAACATGTTTCAGATACTTAAAAGAAGAAAAACTTGGGATCTTTTCAGAAGAAAAAAATAACTAAAGATTCTGATCCGGATACATAAATTTACTCAGAAATTAAATGATGTTTTAGTTATCTGTAGGTATTTTCAGAGCTATTGATGAACACATACGCAACAGCAAAACACACTAAAACAAGACACCTAAACCAAACAACAGTAGACCAGAAATATACCTGGACATGTCTAAGTAAGAGACACTGAGAAGCAGTTCAGAAACCAGAGGAAAAAGTACTTATTAAAGGAAAGAAATCAAACCATTGCTTCATCCTTTTAGGGTGAACAGAACTAGACGCATCTAATACAAGCATTTGCATGCCTGCACAATGAGGG